TCCATCACGAAATTTTTTTTTGTGGGAAATTCTCACCAAAATGCTTTTGTACACTTTTAAATACAAGTCTGAGACTATTATCGCTTTCCTTCAGAATAAGGTGTGAATTCATAACATTTATTTGCAAAAGAACAGCGAATCGAGAGAGGAATTTTGACAGTGTTTTTCAAGGTTCCTTGATGGACAAATATCTACTTGTAATCACATGCAGATCTTCTTCCTTGAAAACATTTTCAATTTAGAAATAACAAAGCCTAATTGTTAACTGTTAAATGTTTTCTTTTTATACCCTCCAACTTGGAAAGGAGGGTATAATAACTTTGTCATTCCGTTTGTAACATCCCTAAATAAATATTCGTCGTAGACCCCATAAAGTATATATATTCATAATCAGCATAAAAGTCTAAGTCGATTTAACGTCCGTCTGTCTGTCTGTTGAAATCACGATACAGCCCATATTATTTGACGTTGAGCGTTAAAAGCAGAAAAATTTGTATTGTGTCTAGGATGGTTGCTTTTAAAATCAGATATATCGGTCCACGTTCTGGTATTGTCCCCATATAACGGTACCTCCCGATATTCGGTATTTTGATGATTTTTGCCACATTTTTTTCACGGATTTATTTAAAAATTGGTATTTGTTGGTCATAATGGGTTCTGGCTGCGGTGGCAAAACATTGTATGTAGAGGTCCATGTTTCGATATAGCTCCCATAAATGGTACCTCCAGATATTCGACATTCTCATGATTTTTGCCACATTTTTTCACGGATTTCTCTGAAAATTGGTATTTGTAGGTCATAGTGGGTCCTAATTCGTGTGGTGAAATATTGTATGTATGGGTCCACACTTTGGTATAGCCCGCATATGACGTAGCTCCCGATTTTTGGTATTTTGATGATTTTTGGCACATTTTCCCACGAATATGTCTACAAATTGGTATTTGTAGGTCATAATGTGTTATAATGTTTCCTTTACCTTAAGGTGGAGGTATTAAAAGTTCGGCCCGGCCGAACTTAATGTGTTTTTACCTGTTTTGGGTAATTTTCATGAATTAATAAAATTTGGTAATTTGATGAGCTTTGTTTCTTTTTATGGCGGGCAAATTGGTTTGTTTGGGCAAATCAGCTGATTGCTGCAGCTTTTATCGGAAAGTTTATTTTTTTTATATTTCTTCTAAAAAGGACAATAACAATGTAGTTGCTGTGCAATTCTTTCAGGAGAGTAACCGGGCAGGCATATATATTTTTTAGTTTTTCTTTTTCATATTTTTTACATAACAGTCCTAAAACCTGGTATAAATATGGTATTATGATCCACAAACTGCAAATTACTACAAATAAGTACTATTTTTGATACGATAAAGATACACGATACGCAAACATTATATTAATTATTTATTAAAAAAGGATATCCATTATTGCTGTGGTGTGAACTCTTATTATTTTACAGTTACATTATTTCCCTGAATTGCAGTGAAGTTATTTTTAATTACAGATATCTAGTATAACCAGTTTAAGGATATACATAGGTATTTGACATTGCCATTGAACTATGTATCGATGAGCTTTGTTGTTACAAGTTCATGCAAGTATGTTATACAACTTGTTGTTGTTGTTATATTTATGATTTAATTTCTCTGCAAACATTTGTTTCATGCATCCAGTTTTCACGACATAATGTGCAACAATCCAACAAACCGGTAAGATTACAGCATGGCGCCCAATTATGAAGAAATTCCCTCAAATAGCAAATATGTTGTACAAAAGAGTGGGTCGTCATAGAAAGGAGGCAATTTGGTTCATTTTCGGATGATGATGACAAAAACTGCCAAAAGAAGTACTATGTTTTGGAATAGAATTATTCATTTTGTTTGGACAATATTTGTTTGTGATATATAGCATTTTCAGATTAAATGAAACCTTTTGCAATTCAAATGAAACTTTTTGCAGCGGGAATGAAACCTTTTGCAGTGGAAATGAAACCTTTTGCAGCGGGAATGAAACCTTTTGCAACCGAAATGAAACCTTTTGCAACCGAAATGAAACTTTTTGCAAATCAAATGAAACTTTTAGATTTTTAGAAGGAAAAATAACAAAAAATTTTTATTTTTAGTAGGTTTAAAATTAAATCATTTTCTTTGATTATTAATATCTATGTTTTTTTAAACATTTTTCTTAAAGCTTCCATAAAACACAAGTGTAGATGCAGAAAGATTGAAAAAAGTTTTTCAAGGTATTTTTTTCAAAGGACCCGAATTAGGTATCTTTTTATAATCTCCTCCATGGAAAGGAGGATATATTAAATTTGTCATTCGGTTTGTAACACCTCTAAATTTTCGTTGTAGACCCCATAAAGTATATATACCATCATGATCTTAGTTGATTTAATGATTCCCACTTATCTGTCTATTGAAATCACGACTGCTCTATCTCCATAATCAATAAAGCTGCGAAGCGGGAATCCTTTATTAGGTAATATTAATAGTATACAATAACTATAAGAAATTGTGGTAAAGCTTAATTTCACAATTCAGTCCTGACCATACCTATAGCAAAATTTGTTTAAATTTCTCTTTTTAGCGTTAAGCATTTGGAATTTAATAATATGGAAGCATTTTATATCAAATCAATAAAGAACCATTTGTTATTACAATAATTGAAAATTTAAGAAATAATATAAATAAATGTAGATATTTATAATCAATAAAAAATCCTCTTTGTCAATATATTAGTTATATTATTATTAATTATTAATTGATTCAATTTAAAAACTACTAAAAATAAAAATGTTTTGTTATTTTTCCTTCTATAAATTTAAAAGTTTCATTTGAATTGCAAAAAGTTTCATTTCGGTTGCAAAAGGTTTCATTTCCGCTGCAAAAGGTTTCATTTCCACTGCAAAAGGTTTCATTTCCACTGCAAAAAGTTTCATTTGAATTGCAAAAGGTTTCATTTAATCTGAAAATGCTATAGGTTCTGGCATCTAAATACTTCAGATTAGTGTTTCTCAAAAGATACTTAACATTTGAATAACTTATCTTATACAGGGTAAGAATAAAAGAATAAAAAAAAAAAAAACAAAAAAAAAAAATTGTGGTGGAATTCAAGCGAGATAGTGTGATTTCTTTATATTTGGCTGGAAAACTACAAGTGGTTATTGATAGAGCACTCCAGCATTGAAATGTGAATAAATCATTTGTGTCTCTTATCATCGCTCGTTACCGTGATACTGGTAGCGTAGCCTGACTTCAAGGAAGTGGACGGGAGAAAACACCAACATCAGCTGAAATGGTTCGAAAAGTAAAGACAGGACTTGATCCAAACCCGTGTCGCAGTGGTCGAAAAGTGGCTCGTGATCTGAACAAATCGCAATATAATCCATTCGGCAGATATTAAAAAATGAGCTCGGGATAAAGACATTAAAATTCCAAAAAGTGCAAGAACTTACACCGCAACCAAAAGAAAATAGACTCAAAAGAACTAAAGAGTTGGTTCGCTTGGCCGAAAGTGGTGATCTGCCGAATTTGGTTTTCTCCGATGAGAAAACATTCGTTGTCCAGCAGTTTGTAAACAAACAAAATGATAGTGTTTACTTGCCAAAGAGGTCAGCTATAAATGTGCACCTTCGGTTGGACACTAGAACTTAAGCGCCAGTCATGATGATGGTGTGGGCCGCCATAACAGCCGATGGTCGCTCCCCGCTCGTATTAATCGATCGTAGCATCAGAATAAATGCCGAATATCATCGCGAACATATTCTGGAGGGTGTATTAAGGCCTTGGCCACGCAAATACTTTGGCCGCAGACCTTGGACATTCCAAGAGGATTCAGTGCCATCGCACTCAGCACCAAAATCTCCGGATACCAATTCGTTGGACTATTGTGTCTGGAGTATTCTGTAAAGCAAGGTTGGCACTAAAAAATACCAATGGTAGATCAACTCAAGCAAGCGCTTTGTAGGGAATGGGCCAAAATACCGCAGAGCAACATTCGGGCAGTGTGTGACGGTTTCATTGGCCGTTTGAAGGCCATAATTCGAACCAAAGGTGACCAATTCGAGCAGATCTAAACTTATTCTAAAATTTAATGCTATTTCCGATATTTTTTGCTTTCATTCAATAAAATTTAAAAAAAAAAATGTAAAAATTATGGCGTTTGACTTTCTTGCAGTTTTTTATGTTACCCTGTTTATATCTTCAACCGATTTCGGGTTAATTGTGCACCAAATGGCCAATATTAGTTCAAATTACCTGAATTTTGGCACATCCGACCGAATTCAGCCTAGAAGCAAGTACATCACATTTGGAGGAAATCGGTTTAGATATATCTATAGCTCCCATATATATACTTTATCCGGTTTGGGGTTTTAAGACCCTCACATGCGGAATATGCACTCTACAACAATTATATTTGATACCGGGCATCGGATACTGCTCGAAAATACCTCCGCCAAATTTTATTGAGATCGGTTCAGATTTTTATATAGCTTCGATATACATCTTCATCCGATTTTACGGTTATTTGCCACCATATATGTAATGATCTACTTCAATAAATTGCCAATATTAACTTTTTTGTTAAGTGAGCTCTACTAAATACGCATATTGGTGTAGGGTATCATACAGTTGGCCCCGCGCGAACTTTCTGAACTTTCCTTACTGGTTATTATTTGATTTGAACAATATTTGTTTGTGATATTGGTTCTGACGTCTAAATACTTTAATTAATGTTTCTCAATATTAATACTTAATATTTGAATAACTTATCTCATAATGAACCCATATCACCCTCATTACTGTCATTAAGGTGTAACATTTTTTGTCTAGTCTTGTAATGTATAATTACTTATATATACATATGTACATGTATGTACTTCTGTATCTCTTTTTATAACAAATTCCACAAATTGTACTTTAATTACGATTCCATTTATTAAACAGCTGTGTTTTTCCTACGCATCTATTTTCTCGTTTTTGCTCCGAAACAAGTTTCCTCTCAGACAGGAGCTAATAAATTGCTTTATCCGCAGACAACAAGCCGTAGAGCATTAGAGGAGTTGTTACAACATCCACTAGGAAAATGTGTAAAAATTTCATTTTCATTTGCAACAAAACCTTGCAGACAATTGGTTGTTTCAGCGGTTGACATAACAGCTGGCTCGAAGTTTAATTCCAATATAGCTCTTGTTGTGATCGACGTCCATAATGAAAGTGTCAAAGCCTGAAATTGTTGTTGTGTTTATGGTGATGGTGATAAACGTAATGCAAATACAAGGATATACTGGTGGCTATAATTTTTATGAGCCAAGCAATAAGGTATTCACAGTGCTAAGACGTTTATTTGTTTATGAAACGTGATAAAGTAAAAGGATATTCATTTGTGTTTGTTATAATTGTCAAAAATTGGATTTTTGCAGAAAACGCGTTGTTTAAATCCGCCTCGTACCGCCAGAAAAGTCGAAACCTTTATCAAAGAGTGCCAGGATGAAGTGAAAAATAAATTGGTGCAAGGTAATTTGTCATTACAGAATGTGAAAAAACCTACTATTGCCACTAAAAAAAGATCCTCGATTGGTTTAATAAATCCCATAAAAAGTTCTACAATTGACATACAATTTTTCTATATTAAAATATATGAAATGGATCAAGTTGTAACAGGAAAAATATATTAAAAGAATAACTTTAGAAAAAATAAACTTGTAAATCAATACAACATTTCTTTAAAAATATAATTTAAAAAAATACCGAAGTCAAAACTTCTCGTAAAAATCTAGCGTTGATGTTAACAAGTTAAAAAGCAATAAGTTCGGCCGGGCCGAACTTTGAATACCCTCCACCGTTTGGAACGAATTTGGAAATTTTCAAAAAATAAAGTCCTTAAAAAATTCTGTTAAAATTTATAAAATACCGAATATAGCCGTTTTATTTGGGTCTATACGACGTGGACCTACATAGGCCTTGTTTGTCATAAGCCATTACCATATTCAAATTCTGTCACAAGCTATAGCATCCATTACGAACGTCAAATACGACATCTCAAAAAAAAAAATCGGTGGGTATTGTACCTACCGAATACAGAGAGGTACTGATATATGGGGCCTATATCTGCATAGACCATTTTATGTCACAGACTGTAGTTTCCATTACGAACTCTAAATACGTAATTTGAAACAATTTCGTTAAATAATGACGCTAAAATCATCAAAATACCGAATTTTGGGAGGTAGTGTTGCACGGGGGCTATACGAAGACGTGGACCGGCACAGACAATTTTCTGTCTAAGGCTGTAGTATCCATTTCGAACTTCAAATACCAAATGTGAAATAATTCCGATGAATAATGTCGCTAAAATCATCAAAATACCGAATACCGGGAGGTACTTATATATGGGGGCTATATGAAAACGTGGACCTACATGGCCCATTTACGTACTTAACCTGCCTACTGGAAAAATAAACACGTGTGCAAAATTTTAGCCTTCTATCTCAATTCGTTCGAAAGATAGCGTGATTACAACAGACAGACAGACGGACATGGCTACTTAGAATTTTACGCTGATCAAGAATATATATACTTTGTTGGGTCTGACATGAGTATTTCGAGTATGGTGGAGGGTATAAAAATCCTATAAAAAGATCCATGATTTCCATAGAGAAATGTTTCTTCGAAAAATGACCAGCTAAATGATCCACGAAAAATATACTTTAAACAATTCTGGATTATCAAATATAAACTTCCTTTAAAATCCAGAATTGCCAAAATGCCCCATATAAAAATCAGGATTTCCATAGAATAATGTCAGCGAAAAATGTTCTAGAGATGTACGAAAATTTTGAAAATTTTCTATAATAATACAGTGTCATCAAGAAAACATGTCCCTTCACATTTCCTAGATTGCCAAAAAAATTATCAAAAAATTCAATAAAAAAGCCGAATTAGATTTTTAAAAAGAAAAATGTAATTTCATAAATTATTTATATTTTTACGAAAAATCTCCTTTAACACACAAAGATCCAAAATATCCTCGATTTTTATAGAATACACATTCGATGATACACTTTTGAACTTTTGGGTAAAGAAAACCTTTTTAAATAAAAGTATCTGAATTCAAACCTGTTCCACTTTAAACTACAAATAACAGTAAGACCGTTTGGATAATGCTGTAAAACTTTTCGAAAAAACCTAAAGTGGGTGAGGCCATTATATGGGGACCATGCCAAAATGGGAACTCCCGTAGACAATTTTATACTTCAAGGATTGTCATCTACCAAATCTTCTTAAATATCTAATTTGAAATAATTTCGGGTGTAAATGTGAGTAGAGTTATCGAAAGTATAGCAAATGGATGGGGGGATGTGGGTATTATATGTGCTCCATAGGAGAAGGTGAACCGAAATATTCCAATTACCAATTTTTAAACAAATCCGTGGAAAAATGTGGCAAAAATCATAAAAATACTGAATGTCCAGAGGTACCATTATGTGGGGCCTATACGATAACGGGGACCTAACATATAATGTTTCGCCACCGGAACTACAAACTTTATTACCTACAAATACCAATTTCTATATAAATCTGTGAAAAATGTGGCGAAAATCATCAAAATACTGAATATTGGGAGGTACCGTTACATGGGGACTATACCAAACCGTGGATATCAAATGCTCCGTCATCGGAGTTAGAACCCATTGTGAACTACAATCACCAATTTTTAGAAAAATCCGTGGAAAAAATGTGGCAAAAATCATCAAAATACCGAATATAGGGAGGTTCCGTTATATGGGGACTCTAAAAAAACGTGGACCAATACATACAATGTTTCGCCACCGGAGCTAGATCCCATTATGACCCACAAATACCAATTTTTAGACAAATCCGTTAAAAAATGAGGCCAAAAATCATAAAAAAATACCGAATATCGGGGGGTACCGTTATTTAGGGGCTATACAAAAATAAGGACCTATACATACAAAGTTTCGCCACCGGAGCTAGAACCCATTATGACCTACAAATACCAATTTTTAGACAAACCCGTGAACAATTGTGGCGAAAATCATCAAAATACCGAATATCGGAAGGTATCGTTATATGTGTGCTATACCAAGACTTATTTTCAATACCAACAATCCTAGACACAATAAAAATTAACCTACCAAATTTTGAAGCTCTACGTCAAATAATGTGGGCTGTATCTTTATTTCAACAGACAGACAGACGGACATCGTTAAATCGACTTAGAATTTTATGCTGATTATGAATATATATATACTTTATGGGGTTATACGACCAATATTTAGGGATGTTACAAACGGAATGACAAAGTTAATATACTCTCCTTTTCAAGGTGGGGTGTATAAAAAAAGTGTAAAACTGCCTTAAAGATCAACGACCACAAAAAAAAAAAAAAATGATTTGCGACAGCCATAGAAAAACGTGATATACAAGATTCTCTCTTAGAAAAAGTTGCCAATCAAAGTCCACAAAAAGTATAAAAAGTCCACATTAACTGTATAAAATTAGTGTGACGAAATTTTTTTATAAAAAGATCTAATTAGCATGACAAAGTTTCCTATAAATAGGTCCATGTCAGTTTCACAAAATTTCTTATGACAGAATTTTTATAAAATGATCCATTTTAGGTTAATAAAATTTTCTATAAAAATATCAAATACACGTTAGTTTTGCAAAAGTTTGCTTAACAAATTTTTCTATAAAAGGATCAACGGTCCTAAAATGGAATAAACGTTTGCTAGTATAAATTTTCGTTTGCAGGCCAAAACTTACAATAAAGAAATTCGCATTTTGTTTTCAAAACTTCCGCCAGTCCATTGTAACTTCACAAAAAATTTCATAAAAGGATGCCATGTCAAAATTTCTTACAGAAATCCAAGTTTTGTTACCGAAATTTCTTATAAAAAGATACGGCATAGGCTGACAATTCCTTTACCTAAGTTTATATTTGTAAAATTGTTCAATGGAAGAATCTATTCGTTTTGCCATTTTTTTATATCATAAAGGGAAAATCGGTTATCCTAGTAAACACTTTTACACTCTTGCAGTTTTGGAGCAGTATGTACAATAGTCACATTCTATTAATGAGTAGAACTGTGTTTAACGAACCAAATTTAAAGCATAATTTTAGGCGAACATATTATAATAATGAATGTTAACCCTCTGCAACTGACGTGGTCTAATTGTAACAATGTGACTGACATGGGGTCTAGCAGACCTCATTTTTAAACCGATTTCCCATGCTCAAATTTTTGACTGGCGCCTTCTTGGCCTTATTTATGTACAACAGTAAATAGTTTTCAATCTAGCATAGGTTAAAAATTTCAAATAAGTGACGACTTTTTCAAGGTATGGTTTATTTCATTTAGGTCTATAATAACAAAAAAAAAAAATACTCTTCTCTTAAAAACAAAAAAAAAAAAAAAAAAAACAATTATTCTTACAAATATTGAGGAACTTCTTTTTTACCTTAAAAAACACTTATGAAATAAGTTTTGGTTTGATTTTTAGCTAAATCGTACGGTTAGATCAGTACATGTACAGTCTTAAAAATTCAGTCTTTAAAACTACATCTGACTCAAAGAGTTGACTAAACATGAAAATCTATACTTGGACATAACGCAGTGAAATAATTCACGGCCTGTGCCATCAGTAGCAAATACTGTATTGAGATCGCAGGCGTTGCATTTAAACACCGACGAATAATATAAGAGCCCTACGAATGCTCTCATTTCATTCTCATTCGTGTCCATAAGTTCTGCTCGGCTGTTATTTTTGAACTGGCTCCTATACATATTAAGCTTTTGGTTTGTATTTACTATCAAGCTTGAAAGCATAGACTGATCAAAAAATCTTGTCCAAAGACAAACATAACTTTCAAATTTTGTGAAAGTTACAATGTTTGGTAGCCTTAGAATATTATGTCTTGGACCCTCCTGATCAGACCATACAAAGCCATTTTTACATCTGTACAAATGCTCACTTATGGATTCCGTTTGAACTTCCGCAAAGCTATTACCTTCCTCTTGAAAACGCGCTTCCAGAGAAATTTCATCGTCCTCAAATATAATTTCTTCTGCTACAAAATCTGGATCATTTACATCATCGTCGCCGCTGAAATCTTCACCCTCTTCATCAATTTCTTCCAGCCACTCAGTTATTTGCTGTTCGCTGCTTTTAAAAGTTCCAGCTGATGTTCTTTTATAGGAAGTCATTTCCTCTAGGATTACTGACTGCAAAAATATAAGTGATAATAATAGTCAAAATACAATTTTACTGTTGTGAGGTCTGACAGACAATATGTAATTTTACGATATTACTGATGTGAGGTCTACAAGACCATATTGAATTTCACAATAATACTGACGTGGTGGTCTGCTGGCTACTTACACAAATGTTGATGTGCGGGTCTAATAGACCTTTTACTGCGCAGTTAGACACGTGCGTTGCCCACGATTGCTCTTTTCACACTGAGCGACGTAGGAGCATGAATAGAAAAGGTAACGAGAGCGTAGAGATCGTAACTTGTTATTTTACAAAGTTACGAACGATTGTTCTCTTTGCGGGGTCTGTCAGACCATACGTCAGTTGCAGAGGGTTAATGATGAAGTGTAACAAACCTTTACTAAATTTAATGCTCGTTGTAGCCAATATTTTGCCACAGATTGCAATGCAAAGGATATTAAATTCTACTATTCTGATCTCGTTTACTCAAATTGTATTATAAATAATTAGTGGTCAGTTTTTTTCGTTCAACAATACCGTGGTCGCATAAAAGCTCGAAGGAATATATGTTTTGGAAACGTGAAAGAATGCTATAAATAAAAAAAACTAGCACTATAACCATAAGAAATTATGTCGAACATTCTATAATAATTTGATATTTACTGATATTAAAATTGTTTTCACATATTTCAGAGGCATTTTCTATTCTAAAACATGAGGTTGCAAAATTCCAAACTCCCATAAGTCTAGACGATGATAATGTGGAATATATGGAACCAACAAAGGCTCCAAATCACCATGATGCGGATTGGCCAGAAAATACAGAAACGGAGGAAGAGTCATATTTCCAAGATCATAATCTCAATCAATTTGAGTATTTTTCGGAGGAGGATACGGCACGCCGGAGAATGGCACGTTTAGTGAAGAGAATATCGCGTGTCGATGATCTAACCAATGGTATTTATCATCCCACATTGGTGCCGTTCGAGGATAAAAGAATCGCTGGG